CTGTGAACATTTTTGTCATTTGTCCTGTGCCCAGGCTCACAGATTTCTCTCAGGCAATACTTCTACTTGAGAGCTCATCACCATCCCCAGGAGGTTCACAGATGACGAGGCTCTACCCTCAGAGTGTCTGATTCAGAGGGACATGAGTAGCTTTTGAGAGTTTACATTTCTAAGAAATTCCCAGGTGATGCTGATGCTACTAGCCAGGAATAGGGACCACACTTTGAGAGCCACTGCTTTAAGTTGTTGGCAGGGGTTTTGGGGGGGATCAAGGAGCATGCATCTATTCAGCTTTACTAATTAATGCAAAACTACTTTCCAAAGTAGTATCTTTACATTTCCACCAGCAGTGTATGAGTGTCCCATTGTTCTGTGGCACCCGTACCAACACTTGTTATTGCCAGACTTCAGTTTTTGCCAAGTCAGGGGGTGTAGAAGTGGTCTCTCATTGCAACTTATTTTGCATTTCCTTAATTCCGATGAATTTGAGCACTGATTGGCCATTTGGATTTTTTTATGTGTGTGTGGAGTCTCTATTGCAGTCATCTGCCCCTTTTTTGGTGAGTTATCTGTCTTTTTCTTACTGGTAGGTCAGTTACATTTATTGAAAAGACCACAGTAAAATTTTCATTAATTAATGCTTAAAACTTTTAACAAATCTCTACATAGTTAATAGCATGAAATCTCCTTTAGTAAGTGCAAGAATGCAATATGAAATAGAAGTCTCTAGATAGCCTCTCTTTTGCAAATGGCTTCATGGAAAATAAGTTAAGGATGTTTTCTCCAAACAAGTTACCAACTGGAGAGGCCAAACACATATAGGAAATCAGCATTCTTGATACGTTCACTGAGACTGCGTCTGTAAGCACAAGGCCATCTTTAAATGATAATAATGCAACTGAAACAGATCATTCAAGAAAAAGAGAACTATTATTGAGGCCAACATGGCCATCGACACTTGTTAGCTTGTCTCTGAAGAACAAAATTCTGAGCAGCAAAAGCTTAAAGTAAATGAAATTGTATCCAATTCTCAATATAATGAAAATGCTTTGGGCTCTGGGCCAGAGAATAGATTCGAACCATGGATGGGAATTTTTTTCAGGGCCTTAAATTTAAATGACTGAAATTATTTCTTTAAAGTATCATTCTACTCAATCTTTTGAAATAAAAACAGGGTTTTCAGTTTTTTAAAAAACTGCGTTTCAGTGTAAGGATGGAATACAAGATCTTTGTCCTTTGGTAGTCCAGAAAACAGACTGTTCATTTGAGAGCATACTCCACATGGGGTAGATGCCTATTATAGCCACACATGCACGCACAAACACGCATATACTCTCCGCATATGAATATACACACAAACACCATATATATACAGTATACACACCTATGTGTGTGCACACACATACAAACACACATGCACATATATACACAGACTATCAAATACATATATATACCTGCACACACTCACACCTTGGGAATGGAAAACCTGAAGCAAATGCACATATATGTCAATTTAGCATAAAGGGATGTTTCTACTCTGAACACACTAAATATATCATGAAAGTGTCTCTAACCCTTTCCTTGACCAGTCAAAAACAAAGGAACAATTTTAGAATTACTACTTTGTGTAAAACTTAAATTATCTAGGAACTCAAGGCAGTTGTAAGTTCTAAGAGTTGAAAACTGCACCTCAAATTATTGCTTATTTTAAAAATGTCATGTCTAAAGTGTATATAGACTTGTTTTAAAATACAAGCATTTAGAGCTGCCTGGCTGGTTCCATCAGAAGAGCGTGCGGCTCTTGATCTGGGGTCATGAGTTTGAGTCCCACATTGGGTATAGAGATCACTTAAAAAATTACTTTGGTAGATAAAGTTTAAAAAAATGCAAACATTTAAAAGGAAAACGTGTTGCCATGGCTCTCTCTCACTCTCTGGCTCTCACTCTCTTAAATAAATAAGGTAGAATTAACAGTAAATATAGATTAATCAGGAGATTGAGATCCCTATAGCTAGGAAACACCTCCCCCCACCCTCATAGGAAGCATAATCAAGGTGCTTCCTAAAGCCTTCCCCTACCCACAGCATCTCAAGGCTCAATGGGTGGTAGTGACCCAGCTGGCTACTTAAGGAGTCAATCAGCCTAGATTCTGTATTCCCAGTGCATTTGCCTCCAGACTCCTGAGCCCTGTGCTCGTAACTCCAGACCTAGGTGGGGAAATCCTGCTTGGAAATACAGACTCATAAATCTGTGACTTAGGAGCCCTTCATTGGTTAAGCCCCTTTCCTCCAAGCCTCTGGGCATGAGGAGGAAGCCAGGGCCCAGTGATCACCATCAGGACCTGGTATTCAGGACACTGTGGATCAGCTCCCTCCTATAATGTCACAGCTCTGGGGCTTGGAATCCAAAGGCTATTAGCCACCTTTCAACCACTGAAGGGCACCTCTCCTAGATGCTCCCCTTACCTGAACCATCACCACAGAACCTTGGCTGAGCAGCCTGGGACTGCTTACAGGGGAATGGAACTTCTCGCTGCATTTCCAGAGAAGGAGACAGGGAGTGGTCTTGTGCTGTGACAGTGTCTCTGCCATCCACAGCTACCTGAGGTCTGTATCCCACTGGAGTATATGCAATCATGGTCCAAGGCGAAGGATCAAACTGTCTTGAAGTCCATGGATCTAAAGGCAGCACAAATGCATCTGCCATTCCTTCTCACCTTATCGGGCCCTTCCTCTTCTTACTCTTTAACTCGTCAATTATCAAGACCTTAAATTGTTGGGGTACAGGACTGACACCCTCTCTGATCATTGCAGAGTTGTGGTGACTTGTTCTGGAATAGTTAAATCACCATTAGGGATTCTAATCTAACAAGGTTCTAGGAGGTTCTGAAAGAGCCCATATCAGAGCCAGCTTTGGAGTGTACATATTCCCCTCAACTCCCTTCAGCCCTTGTAGGGCTCTAAATAGGGTCTTCCACTTCTTCTCATGGGATACAATCCTCATTTATTTACATAACCTTATCTCAGATGGCCGTCTCATTTGGGACATCTCTTGATTTATTCATGTATTTATTCATCCAGCAAACATTGACTCAGTGTCTCCTATTTGCCTGACGAAGTGTTGAGTAGTAGGAATCTACAGATGAATAAAATATAGTCCCTTTCCTCAATGAGCTTACAGCTCACAAAAGGAGACAGACTAGTGAATTAACAGTCAAAAAACAATATAGTAACTGCTGTTAGCTCTGGGGGAAACAGAGACAGAAGCTTCCAAATCAGTTATTACGTCCAAGAAAATGGAGTTGCACTACTTCAGGCGCCCATCCTTTCTTCACAGGGTTTCCAGGCATTGGCTGGTGAGATAACCAATTTTAGGCCATGCCTGTGTAGAGCTTGGGCCATGCTGATGTTCGTGGCTCTGACATCCACCTGCAATGGTAGAACCTCCATTCTCACTCCAAATCTCCCTCACGTACTCTAGGAAGTAACCCAGTGCAGAGACATCATGTGTGTTTGCATAAGTCCTCTGCATCCCTGGTCTCTAAGTCCTCTGCCACAAAACAGTCTCTGTGAGTGTGTCTCATCCTGCCACTGTCCCAGCTGCTATGAGGGTACGTGGCTGCTCTCCTATCATTCCCAAAGCTGATGGCATTGCTGTCTGTCAGCTTCTCCCTACTGCCAAAGCTGGGGAGGCCCCATATCACAATGCCAGTCACTAAGGGGAATCTGTTGAAGCTGAGACTGATATGGCCTGAGCACCCATGTCTGCTTCAGATTGAAATTTCTCTCTCTTTTGTTCTGCACTCCACTGCCTTGGTCCCCAAGCGCCCTTGGCTCCCCTATCCCACCACTTGAAAAGACTCTATATGAACTATCTCCTGAGCTTTTTACTTGTCACCAAGACTCAGACCTGTGCCCTAGGCTTTGGCCTGGAAGAAGGAGGGATGAAGGATGGTCTTCACAGTGGAAGATATCCTATATCCCAAATCTGCCCACTCTATTTATTACCCTGTCATTCTTCTTGAGTCAAGTTTATATGCCTGACCTTCTCCTCAGGACAAATACTTTCCTAGATTTCTTCATCTGCCACTCAAGTATGCTGCCAGCAGATCTTCCCATAGTTCTCCAGCCACACCCAGGAGTGTGGAATTCCCTGCAGATGCCACTATTAAATTTCAGAGCTCTGTTGGTATGACAGGCGATGTTTTCTGTTAATTATGAAAAATAGGCAAGTGGAGGCTCTGTCCTCCACTTATCAATTGAGATATTTTTGGGGTAACCTCTAAAGAAGTGGCAGCTGAGTTAAGGAGATGCCCTCGGCACCAAGAAGAATTTCAGATCTAGAAGCACCAAATATTATTAGACCAGCGGTGCCATTTCCCATTCCTTGCAGGGACCAACATACCAAAGACAGCCTTCATGAGTATCTCATGCTAAAAAAGATCTAAGAGGCCATATCCTGCTTGCACAACTTTTCCTTTCAAAGGAAGGCACCCTTGCATGATGCTACTACCTCCAAGGGTTCCTGCCCATCAATGAACCATTCATACCTGGTACTGGGACAGGGCCTCACATCCAACTGAAGGTCTGAAATTCCTGAACTTCCATGCATGTCACTTTAGCAACAACCTTTCTGTCTTTTATAGGGCCTTTATTTTCAATTAAATCCAGATAAGTAAGATAGCTGCTGAATTGTTGGATTCAGGATAAGTGAGATGCTGCGTAAATACAAAAATTAAGCCATTGAAGAGACTATACCATAAGAAGCAGTGTGTTGAATGTTTATGTGTATTCATTGTGATCTTTTTCTATGCCTGTAGAATGATGGAATTACTGAAGCAAAACCCGATGAAAGCATTTCACAGTTTAGCATTCACCATCATATGGAAATGTCAATTTCATCTAACAAAGAAAATATTGGAGGCATGTTCAATATAAAATGCAAATAGAATACTTAGTGGGCTGGATAAGTCAGCTGTGTTTCACTTAAACCTATTACCTTGTCAGAACAAATGCGGTTCCAGATCTTTTGCAGGAAGGATATTCTGATGAAGTTACATCTTACACCAGCTTTTGTGGCTTCAGTAGCCTATGAGTAGAAAGAGGACAAAAATGGTTGAGGAGTAAGAGTGAGTGGGACACAGCCATAGAGAAATAGGAGGATCTGCCCCCACAGACTTTCCAATACCCACTAAGAAATATTGTTATTTGCTCAAGGTTAGTTATGAATAATTTGTAGCAAAGATTAATCTCTCATGCGATAAAATAGGTGAGGGTTCACCAATATTACGAGGCCTGCCTAACCACTTCCAAATTCTGATACCTGCTAGTGTAACCTAATTCAGCTGAGTAGAGGTAGGCCCAGCCTGGCCTGTGATGCTAGCTCTACCTTGGTGCTTCTGCAGTCCTGTGGGGTACCCAGCTCCCTTAGCTGAAACCCCACAACAGTAGACCTCTCTCTTGTGTGACCCTCACACACTCTAGACTCTGACCTCATCTTCACCTCCAGGACTCATATGCACACCATGCCCTGTTTTAGAATTACTATGTCCTGTTAGATGCAGCCTACTTAAATGCCACATAATCCATCACTCTATGGCTCTGTGCAGTTCCTGCCAGAAGATTACCTTGTCTCATCTCCCACCCTACACCTTCACACCAATGGAAAGGTTGCTAGCTCCTGAAACAGCCCACTTTATGCTTCCACTGAGTAAGACAGGCTTGGTGGAAATTAACCAGCCCCATCCAGTTTGTCCAGTGCATTTCTCTCGTCCCATTGTTGCATGATCACTTATAAGCTTTGGGGTTTGTATATCAGGTGGCATTTCCCTGTGAGCTTTTCCAAAGGAGCATCTTTCAAATTACTGCAGAGAACTACAAAATAACTGATCTCTTTTTAAAAGAGTATTCCTAAATAAATAAATAAATAAATGAGTATTCCTTCTGTAGCTTCTGTGATCCTTTTTGCTTTTTATTACATTAATATACTGTGAGTATGATCTGTTCATAGCTATAGATAGATAGGTAGATAGATATTTATATTTATATATAAAGTCAAAAAATACGAAGAAATCATACTCGGTGATTCCTGCTCTAAAATACTCTACTTGGCTGTTGCTACTAGCACCAAGTCTTTCTGCCAAAGAAGATAACAGCCTACAGGCAATGGTTACCAGGCTATTGGGTAAGGAAGAGGGGGTGGGAAACAGATGAGAGTTGTAGAAAGAGATTCTAGAAGGGAAATGTTGGCACAAAGGACTTTACCAAGTAGTTGTGAACTGGACTTCAGAGAGCTGCATTCCCCTTTTGATTCTTCCCTTACTAGCTGTGGAATGCCACACTGATTAGTCCTGTTTGGCCAATATTCTCCTCTTCATAATGTGAAGGTTGCCCGAGAGCAGGTCTTTCAACTCCAATCTTCTGTGTTTCTACGAATATGTATTACCCAGATGTCAGGGCAGATGGCTAGTTAGGAATCTAGAAAATTGTAACAAAAGCAACGATTACCACTTCCCGTTTTCATAGTAATTTCTGCCAGACTTCAAGTCAGCACTTTATGTGACATTATCTCATTTAGTCCTCACAGACATTCCTGGAGGTTTGTATCATGGTCCCTATTTCCCAGAAGAGGGAACCGCTCTCAGTGCAGTTATCCAGTTCCATTAGGATGGCAGCAAGAATAAATAACAGAGCTGAGATTCCAACCCTGTTGGAACTAACTCCAAGCCCACTTACAGTGAGACACAGTAAGAAGTTCCAGAGGCTCTTCTCATCACTCATTATCTGAAATCGTGCCAAGCTTTGTCTTCTTTTATACTCTAAATACCTGATTTACCCCTTTTCCTGACTTCTAAAACACATGTGTGTCTGTGCCTCTGGCTTGTGTGAAAGGGTAACAATAGAGTCTTAGAGTTCTTCATCTACTCTTTGCAACCAGATAGGAATCAATAAGAAAACAGCAAAAAATGAACTTCTGAGCTGCTGCTTGCAAAATAAAATGTGAGTGAAGATATCACCCAACGAGGGCAAGATTTAGCTCAAAAGAATGGCTTTTAAAGACAGTGATATAAAATCCTCTTCATATAGGCAGACATGCCTAACATGAGTCAATTGTGATTTTGCTGAGGCCACCTTTAAATCATAAACATTCGATGAGGTGGAGGGTGGCAGCGGGAGACTCCACCTAGCTGGCAATGGATCTAAATGATTGCCCAGCCTTCACATATCAGAGCAAACCAGTTTTGTTTCTTTGGGGAAAAATGTACCATCCCACCCCCAGCAATCAGACATCCTCTAGTGAGTGGCAATTACTTATGTGAAGAATCCCAAGAAAGTGAAGGTGATCCTTCGCCAGAAAGATGTCTCATACAAACTAAAGGATGGATGCCAAAGTCACAAATGTGCTGTGAACAAGGTCATCATAATCTCTACTTGGAAATAAGCAAAAGCTCTAATGTTTTATCAATATATTCAGGTAGTGTAGTCGGTCTTCATTGACAGATTCTGTACTTACGAATTCACCTATTCACTTCAATTTATTTGTTACCCACACAGCAATACTTACAGTGTTTTCATGGTCATTTGTGGACATGTATACAGAGAGGCAAAAATTTTGAGACCTTCGGTATGCAACATTCCCAGCTGAGTTTGAATGAGGCGACACTCTTCTTGTTTCAATTCTCATTCTGTAGACAGGTGTTTTATTCCCTGTTTATTTAGTGCTACATCTTTTACATTTTGGGCTTTTGGTTCACTGTTTAAAATGGCTCCTAAGCATAATGCAGAAGTGTGGTCTAGTATTATTACATGAGGGCAGGCTGTGATATGACTTACAGAGAAAACACATGTATCAGATAAGCTTCAACCAGGCAAGAGTTATAGCGCTATTGTCTGTGAGTTCAGTACTAATGAATTAACAATAGATATTAAATAAAGTGTCTTTAGGGGATTCCTAGATGGCTCAGTTGGTTAAGTGTCCAACTCTTTATCTCAGCTCTGGTCTTGATCTCAGGGTTGTAAGTTCAAGCCCCACGGTGGACTCCATGCTGGTCATGGACCCTACTTTAAAAAAAAAAAATTATTTAAAGAAAAAAATTTTAAAAATAAGGTGTCTTTAAACAGAAACACACTTAAAACAAGGTTATGCATTGATTGCTTGACAAAAATACGGTGACCAGGGCTGAAAGGAACCTAACCCTTTATTTCTACTAGGAGCAACGGTTCAGTATTTGCCAGTTCAGAGTCTGTGTTGACTTTATAGAATATAACTACCATGTAATGAGAACTGGCTGTATTTGCAAATTTAGGAATTCTTAAAGATGTCTTGAGCTATTTCTTGGGACTATTAGGGGACTATGGTATGAATGATTTCGTGCCATTTTTCTGCTTCATGGAAGATGGGAATTTATAAAACCATCCTTATTCTTCCTTCTCTGGTAGGCAGCTTTCCTTACTATTTAGTTCAACCAGTATTAATTGAGTATGCCAGAATCTATTGCTATTGGAAGATATGCAAAAGAAGCATTTAGCAGTCTGACCTCAAGGGATTTCACCTTTGTTAGAAAGACCAGGCTTAATGTGGCAGATGTAGCCAGGTCCAAAGGAAAGTGGAAACATCTTAGAAATGGCAGGGAGAAGATCAGGCTCCCTGAGGCATAACCTAAGGGAAACAGACTATTTTTCTAATAGTAACCTTGAACTGTTAATTTAGTGTTTCCTCTAGGAACTCTGCAAAGGAAGTTCAGCCTTAGCCAAAGCTTCTAATTAACTCCAAAGTTTCTACCACATCAGCAAACACCTAAAGACCACCCCAGCATTCATTTCTCACCTAACAGAAGTCAAAAAACTGATGTAAGTGAGAATTGCACCAGAGGAAATCTTTTTTTTCACCGTGGGAGACGGTTGCTGTATTTCCCTCATTTTGATTATTTGGGGGACCTGTAATCCTACAGCTAAAAAATAGCATTTATGATTCTCAGAATAAAAATAGCAATGTTAATTTATTAGGCAGTCAGTATAAGTCCGAACCTATGCTGGGTTCTGGGAACACAGGAATAAGTCACAGACTCTACCTTCAAGTATCTCACAGTCAAATAGGAGAACATGATTACTGTGCCAGTGAAATAAATGCTGTGGGACAGAAGGCAGGGTTGAGGGCTTGTGGCAGCACATAACCCATAGTAGGGGTCTTGGGCAGAGGGTAATGCTTCTTGCTGGAACAGAATCTTGAAGGTGAAGGAGTTAACCAAATGACAAAAGTATAGGTGAACATTCCAGGAGGTGGGAACATTGTACGAAACCCTCGAGGCACAAAAGAGCCCTGGGTATTCTGTGACCTACAGTACAGGGTGGGAACTGGACAAATTTTAGGAAAGAGGGCTGGGAAGATCCTCATCCTGAGGAGACTTAAAAAACACATGTTGGAAAGGAAGAATCCACTGAAGATTCCCAGAGGCAAGTGGAATTGTTCTATTTGCGCTTCTTGTAAATCAGTTAGAACTCATACAGAGTCTGCATTGTGGGCTGGGCTCATCTGAGAATGAAGAGAACAGCTGGGCTGGTAGAAAATCCACTGAGGAGATAATCTGAGAGGCATGGCCTGAATATAGTGAAAGAAAGAAGTTAGAGAGGAATTAGGAAAGTTGAATTGCAAGAACTTGAAGAGCAGTTGGGAGTGAGAGGGGTGAGGGAGAAGGGTTGCTGAAGGAGGAGAGGTTTTGGGGCTGATGATGAGTTAGGGTGTATTGAGTTAAGAGTGCCCAAGCTGATGTCAGCAGCCAGATATCCAGAACCGACTTTGGGAGGGTGGTTTGGGCTGGAGATGAGAATTTGATGATCGCTTTATAGATGATTACCAAAATCAAGGGTTTACATTAACACAAGGCAAAGTGTGTACAGCTGAGAATAGAGGAGGACTGCAGGAACACTAATATTGAAGGGATTAGAAAAGGAAGATAAATCTGGGATGAAGCCACCATAAATGAAGGAGGAAATCCAGCTTAGGATAGTGTCAGGTAGGAAAGAGGGGAAGAGAAGAGTGTCATGGAGAAGGGGGTGGTCAACAGAATTTAACTCAGGGAAGGAAAGCACAATTGAACTGGTCACTAATAACCTGAAGCAGTTTTAATGGGGAGTAGAAATAAAAGCAGAGTGCTTTGTTAGCGATGCAAAATGAAGCACTAAAAACAGGGCAGCCCGTGGATCAACTTGACTTTCAAGGGAAGGAGGGAGATGGGAGCAGATAACAAGGAGTAGAAAGTTAAAGATGGTTTCTGCCAATGCCAGTTGGAGCTTGTCAGTGGTTCTTCATTGCTGGAAGGATGTAAGGAGCATTTTCAAGTTACACATGATTACAAACTACAGAGATTACGAGGTGAAAACCTCACAGTGGGGGAGTAAGGTGGGAGGATGAGGGAGGATCAAGAACAGAGGAAGCCTTGGGTGAGGGGTTCTGAGGAGAATATTTCTAGGAGAACCTATGAAGAATAATAAAATGGTATCAGGTTAAGACTCAGAAGATCCATGAATGCCTCTTACTAGCATTCAGCCTTATGCAGTTTCATCACCTCCCAGAGCCCGAGTGTCCTCATCTGTAAAATAAGCTAAATACTGTCTGGCTTGCCTGGTTGTAGTGAGAATTTAACCATGATAATATGCAAGAAGAGCACCTGCAAAATTGAAAGATCCTGTTACAACTATGTGAGAAAAGGGGGTCCTTCTTGCTGCCCTTTACCATTTGCTGAGGTGCCTTTTCTTGCTGAGGTTATTTCAGGTGCCATAGAAAAACTTTCTTCCATACTATATGTAGGATTTCTCTTCTGGGGATTTCTATCTTTTTTCCCCACCTATTTGAGATGTGGAGTTCTGTGGATGAATAAAAGGAAGAGTATTTTTTAATTTCTTTTAAATGTTAGCATAGCACTAATCACTAATGGTAACAATAGATGGAAATACATATGAAAATATGCAAACATATTTCTTTCTAGGTATTTAACCTTCCCAGTTATGGCCTTTGTAAAAAATCTTTAGGAAAATATGGCATTACAGCATGCCAGCTAAGATACCAATAACCACAAGGCAAGTAGGCAATGCAGACTTCCATTTCCTTCCCCTCTTTATTGTTTGAAATTAGCACTTCCCTCTTGGTCCAGCAAAATATACACTCCCATTGATGTTTACTCTAAAGTTGCTAATATCTATATATTTTTAATTGAAACAAAATATTTCACAGAAAGTGTAGACATTAAGAAAACATCAAATAAAAACACTTAGGTGCTAGGCATTTTGAACTAAAGCAAAGATTACAAGGTAGAATGCTATGGACCAAGACCGTTCTCAAAAATATATTCTATTTGACCCATAGATTGTTTAAAAGAAAAACAAAACATACCTTGAGCCAGTATTTCAAAATCAATATAGTTATATTTAAACATATCAATATCTGCCACCTCTTAAAACATTGGGAAACTAGGTAACACAGAGCACAGCTTTTATTCCCCTAAATAGAAGTGAGTGGCTCTGTCTCCACTTCATCCCAAGCTCCACTGCTCCCTATTGCCTCCTCAGGCTGGTGCCCACAGGTCCCTGAAATATGTCAGACGGTAGGACCTCCAGTATAAGGCAAATCAGTACAATACAATGGAAGAGACAAAGCTTATTTCCAAGAATAAAATGGCTAAAAGAAAGAAAAAGGAAACAAACCCTTCCCAGCCCAAGTACAAGGTGGGGGGTGCCCAATTCTTCACTTTTAAACAGCATTCTGTCTCCTTTACAATAAGGCTCTGCAGAAGTACAAGTCAAATCTTCTTTGTGAGCTTTTCTGTATGATAGAGATTTAAAAAAAAAAAAAAAGCAACTATTTCCTTTGGGAAAATCTGATGCATAGCCCAAAAGAAAAATTTGTATTACTTCAGAAGCTGAGGCAATTTGCCAAAGATCCCAAAAGGCTCTTCCTACCCTCACAAGGTCAAGAAAATTTGATAACCGCTGATGGAATGGAAAGACATCTGGTAGACCCCACTTAGAGTTAGGAAGATAAAACTCATTTCTGAGTTTTATTAATACAGACATACTGGCCACGGCTGGTCTTTGCCACATAGAAGAAATTCCCAAGCAATGCATTCTTGGGCTCTCATCAAGTGGTCTGTTGTCTGTGGAATTTCCTATTCTCTAGCCCCAGAGCAGAAAGCAACCCCCCTACCCCAGCTTTGGCCGTCATGAGGTTTAAAGAGGATCATTTGTTTTCATTATAGCCCCTTGAAGCCCTTCCTTCCCTCCTCATTAATGAATTTCCAGTCTTTCATCAAAAAACAAAAACAAAAAAACAAACACAAAAAAGGACCTGACAGAGGACATGGTTAAGTGGCTGGCGCGCATGGCGATGCCGGCTTTAAAGAGAGTAGACGGCCATTTACTGATTGCAAGGAGGGGTTGACATCCTTGGTTAGTATGCTAATTTCGTCTCTTGCATTTAACATTCAGATCAGGTCTGTACAGGCCCTCCAGAGCAGCAGAGTCCGGGGATGGGTGGCTGTCTGCCTTGCAGCATTGAGCATTCTCGGCATGAATTACATAAATGCCCAAACATTCTGTCTGTTCCGACTTCATTCTCTTTTCCTCCCTCTCAGAGACACACACTGACACAGAGCCACACATACGCAAACACACACTACACGTAATGTCATCACACACATACACACACACACGCACGCACAAACATCATAGACACAGGTCTCTGTGAATGCTGAAGAAATGCAACATGGGGTGCCCGAGTCATCCACGACTGGCTTAATTCCTCCACCCCTGAGTATCCAGGGTACACTGCTGCAGGATATATTTCTCCTGCTCAAGAAACTTGCAAGGTATTGGGGAGTCTGCATTTAAAGAGCAACATGAAGAACAAAACTCCAGTCAAAAGGAGGACATCTTATCTATTGACCTTCCAGTTCCAGAAATCCTTAAAAAAAAAAAAAAAAAAAAGCCCCAACTCCATTCATGTGAAAAAGAACCAGATAGCTCAGTTAACTGAACACCCAGAAAGAAAGAAGATCCAGCTCATTTTATTCCTTGGGGTCCCCACCTTGTCATGTGTGTTTGGAACCCTGTATTAAAAGAGTTCTATTCACTGGTTTTGGACTCACCAAGCCACAGCTGGGTGACAGCAGAAGAGGAATCTCGAACCATCTCCCGCATTCAAATGGCGGTTCAAATGGCAAAGACAGTCGCCTGGCGTGATGGCCACAAGCCCAGTCTATGGAAAACTGAATTTCCTCAACCTCCTTTTTCCAGAATATTTTTGTAACCTTGCAGCAGCTTCCTGGAAACAAACCGAGAATCAGCAGCTCCTCTTATCGGAAGGCTCGTTTAGGGGTTGCTTTTAATAAACTGAAGCAATTTTGAGCAAGCAGGAGCTCCAATTAAAAGGAAAGGACAGGTTGGTTTTTACTGTTTTGTTTCCTTAAAGTATGGCATAACTGTGTAACCTGGCATGCCGTGGTTCCTTCCTCTGGACGCTCTGGTGGTCCCTGATCCCGTCCCCTGGTACCCACACAATATTCCATATTTGGCTGAGGAACACCGGGCAATTCCTGTCGGAGGCTCCGACAGGAGTAAAGGGGTGTTTCCTCTGAGCTGCAGACTTGATTTGCCTTGATTTTTTTTTTTTTTTTTTGGCTCTGGTCCAAGATGTTTTCCTGTCATCATCTCACTGTCTTTTCCAGTAATCCCTTTTTTAAACATTGCCAACAATTAGTCGATTTATCTCCACCACCACCACCCCCCACCTCCATATTCACGCAAACACACACTCCACTAAGCCCCATCACTGTCTTGTTTTGCCTTGAAGTATAAGAAATTACAGCTTCTCATTAGCTGGAGAGCACGTTTGGAACGGCTTTGTGTTTACTCACTTAGTAAGTGATGCTGGCCTTTTTAATTATTCTCCCTCCGCGTGCCATCAGAGAGCAGCAAGCTGTTCCAGTCAAACCAAGCGACTGCATATCCTCCGCAAGGCAGTTGGAAGTAATCGTGTTTTACCTCACTGCTGCTGCTTTCTTCCTTCCCTTGTCAGCAAGCCAAGGAATCCCCCCAAAGCTCTTACGTAGGAGATACCAAAACTGTGAGTCACTTCTCACTCCCAGAGCGGAGTGAGTCCGCTGCGTGTTACACGGAGCAGCAGACCAAGATGGGGGTTTCCTCCAAGCCACCAAGATCCCTGGAACCAGATGTCCATCATCACTTGGTCTTTCTTGCTATTGCTCCCTCTTTCTCTTCCACCCTGGTCCATTCCTTCATTTTTTCAAGTGCCTTCCTCTTTTTCTCTTCCTTTCTGTGTCGCCGACAGCCGCAGACCCAGCAAGAGCTGGGTCCCTCTCGCCTTCTGTTATTTTTTTTTTCCCCCCTGCAGCAGACTTTGGCTGCTACCTCTGCGAGCTGGATCACCAAAGACACACGACTCACTCACAATGAATAATCAATACAGATATTGATCTGTGGAAAATGTTTGTAAATTCCTGAAAGGGAATCAGGAGCAGGGTGCAGGGAGGCTCGTGGGGGACGACGCTGAAGTGCTCGTGGCGGTAGGAAGCAGAACTTCATTTGGATCCCAAGTCTTGCCGGCTCCGAGGTGACGGTACCAGAATGCGTGCGAACGAGGGTGTGCGCGTGTGAGTGCGCGTGTGACGAGGGTGTTGTGCATTCTCCTTTCTCTACAGCTGCTTTCCCCGAAGAATCAAGAGCCAAATGGTCGGGAGCCCCCGTCAGTGCCATGTCTTGGCTGCGGGCCAGCACTGTTTTGTTTTCATTATCACACGCTACTTTGCAATTTGCATAAATACAGGGTTATTTTTTATCGTGTCGCCCAAAAGATAGAAAAAAAAAAGTCTTTGTTGTGTGCAAGAGGGGCTTGCTGCCTACTCATCATGGCTAAGGATTTAGTGTATGTAGAAGGCTCCAGAAGAAATGCGGCCAAAGAAGTAGAAATCACGGAGAAAAAAGATTGCAGGAAAGACAGATAGAGGACTTTAAAGAGAACGGCAGAACACTCAGCTTGGTGGAACCAAATATGAGGGATACGTTTTCCTCTGTGGAGCAGGGGTAGAGCCTTAGACTAGCGAAGAAGAAAGATCGCCAAGGTCTAACCAGTGCCCTGCAGTACCCACGCTGCACCCTGTCAGCTGGAACGAACTATTTATTCTTGGTGAGAAAGGTACACAGACCACTGAACACAACCTTGCTTTTCCCTGCCCTCATCCAAAACCAGGAAAGAGTGGGAGCAGAGGAAACGTTCCCTCTCACTGGTCTACGCGGATGATTTTCCAGCAGGCGAGGAGTTTTGGACCTTGTGCTTTTATTTACCCGTGCTTCCCTACAGCTTCATCAGTTCAGCTGAGCTCCCTGGGTTGAGCTAGCCCTAGTACTGAATGGAATTTACAACCTCCCCTTGGCTTTGGCCGTGGAGATGAGGTCTGCTGAACTTATCCCACCAAGTGGGTGCCTGGGATGCTCACGTGTCCCAGGAGAGGCACTTCCTTGCAGAAAAAGCTTCTAGCGCTCTTAGGCCATTGAATGTCCCCCTTTGATTTCCTCCTCTTTCATCTCTTCCCCATTCACTCTGTTTTTGTGGTTTGGTAGTAACATCTCTTTGGGATCGTTTCTACTCTTTTCTCCCATTGCTCTATCTCCTGCTGGCCTGGTGACAGAAGGGCTGTGTCACCTTTGAAATAGCCATCTCCAGTGAGACCTCTGCAAGAGGATTCAATTCCAGCACCCCCTGTCCTGAGAGAGGAGCTGTGCGCTTTATCAGGCGGCAACAGCAGCAGCAAGAGGAGGAATACAGATTTTTTTTTTTCTTTTATCCCCCTCCTGGCTTCTGATTAGCTCCACCAATCCAATTAGCAGAGGAATTTATATCACACAGGCCGAGGTGCCCCTACTCATCCCAGCAGCCCAAACCCACTCATAAATTCTGCGGGTACTACATCCTCCTGTGACACGGATTAATTACAATATTAGACCTTCCTGAGTAGGTCAACCAGTGAAGGTATATGTGAATATCAGAATTGAAAAAGAGGCAAAAAGGCAGGACTTTTGTGCATCACCAAGGATGCGTGAAGGCTGCCCTGTACACCCTCTGCTCTGTGCATCTCTTGTTGTTCTAGTGTGTATCAAAGAGGCCAAGTGGGCCAGAGTGGAGCATTGTGCAGGAGTGGCTCAATCATGGCAAACCCATGTATTTTCTTCCTATCTTTGAGACATTTATTGTGAAACTTCAGGGCTCGTAGAGACTGACTGATTTCCTGTTTCCAGCCTATCCTTCCCCCCCAAATAGTTAAATTATTTAAAATGGCTCCATGAAGAGAAATGCCATTATCTCCATTGGTATTCCATTCCAGTTGGGTACAATCGTGATATTGTACTTTTTTATCTATCTGCAACTTCATTCCAAATTTATCCCTGCGTTCATCAATCTCAAACATCTATCTCTCCATTCATCTAACTATGTTCATTTATGTATCAACTCTTTATTCTGCTTCCCAGTCATCTGTTCATCCATGTGCGTCTAGCTATCCATTTTCTAACCAGGTATTGATCTATGAATATCTTTCTATTATCTGTCATCTACTTGCCTATCCTTTGTGTCTCTATTAATTCATTCATCTGTGTTATCTGTCTGTTTTCTATCTATTCATTAATATATCCATGTATCTATCCGTTCAATCATCTATCATTTGCTTATCAGTTATCTTTTACTTTGTGCCTTTTGTTGGTTATGATCTTAACGGAGTCCCACATTCACATTCTCAATCATTTTTAAGGTAAATAATGCCCAATTTTCTAATGAAGTCTGTAAATGCCATCCACTTCATTATCTGTTCTCTGGTTTAAAAGCCTTATAAACTAAAGAAGTCAGTAAAATCACATGATTTTAAATGAGTTAAAAATCGCAAGGAAAATGTTTTATCCTGGATTCCTGGGATATTTTCTTTGTTTAAGAGAAGTATGCATTTCTACTCCCTTTTGGTTTTGTTTTGTTTTTTTGTTTTGTTTTGTTTTTAGTTTTTTTCAAGATTTTATTTATTTATTTGAGAGAGAGAGAGAGAGTGAGAGAGAGTGAGAACACGAGAGGGGAGAATGTCAGAGGGAGAAACAGACATGGAGCAGGGAGCCTGATGTGGGACTCGATCCCATTCTGGGATTTCAGGACCATGACCTGAGCTGAAGGCAGTTGCTTAACCAACTGAGCCACCCAGGCGCCCTCTACTCCCTTTTAAACCATGGCTTTAAAAGAAGGGAAATTTCAGGTAATGTCTTACGCACAAATCTCATTCAGGATGCTGTGTCTACCACTAAGAGAACTTCATGCAAGAGATCCAATTCAAACCAGAGTTAACATGAGATTATTTTTATTGTAAAGCAAAGCAGATACTAAACCCTAGCATGGTAATGTGATCATACTTATATGGGTTTATCTTGTACCCAGGTTGGCAGTGGAATAGCAATTTGGGAAGTAAAAATAGATTTTTTTTTTTCCCTCATTACTTTTATTCAGAGTACATTCAGGTCTGGACCAAAATCTGAGATTCAACATCTTCTTAAGATGACCTCTAGTTTGTTAGTACCCAAGAAAATGGGTCAATGATGGTTGGGGAAAAACGTTAATGGATGAACTTCATTTCTGTTTGGGACAGAAACTACCATTTGTTGCTGTGAGTGAGGACTGAGGTATTTGGTGGGCTTTTCTCTGTGTTTCCAGAGAATCACTTCCCAAACAACAGGCCAGGCCAGAATCCTAAGAGTAGTCAATCTTAATGTCTCTGACACTAGCCATCTCTAATATTCTGTTAGTTTGTAGCCAGTATGATCAGTTGAGGATCCAAGTTTGGCTGTTTGTTTGTGTGTGTGTTTAACTAAATGGAAGTGTATTAATAAAGATAAAGCCAGGCGCCTGGGTGGCTCAGTGGGTAAGGGTTAAAGCCTCTGCCTTTAGCTCAGGTCATGATCCCAGGGTCCTGGTATTGAGCCCCACATGCTCTGCTCAGCGGGGAGCCTGCTTCCTCCTCTCTCTCTCTGCCTGCCTCTCTGCCTACTTGTGATTTCTGTCTGTCAAATAAATACATTTTTAAAAGCTTCAAAAAAAAAATCAGTGCTTAGTCACTTCTATTTAAAGATAAAGCCAATAAAGACCTCAATACTTCTGAAGTTCCACTCCCCAAAGAGCAGGCAAGGACCCAAGTCATGTGTCCTCTGAAAAAACAAGGGGGATGAGGGAGGAGGAGAGGTAAGATGGTGAAAAAATGAGGGGGATGGAAACCATTCTTCATATCATTTTATTTCCACGTGTCCCACCACCATAGCTTTCTGGATTCCATTGTAATCAGAAATGAAGTTACCTGATCTCATGTTCGAGTCTGGTCCACTTAGGCCAACCAGGGCCAACTTCTCCATTAGGCTCAGGAGACACAGTACCTAGGATCTGCAGCACTTTTAGGGGCCCATAGAAGTGTTTTGATTTCTTTTAAAATCATTAAAATGGTAAAATTTTTGCTCAAAGAAAACGGTTTTTTTCCAAGTGATTTTTTTTTTTTAAGTGATCTCTACACCCAACGTGGGGCTCGAACTTACAACCCTGAGATCAAGAGCCACATGCTCTACTGACTGAGCCAGCGAGGTACCCTGCTCAAAGAAAATGCTTTAATATCTAATGTTAATATGCTTATCAATACAGTCATAAAATAAAAGTTTGAATAATCTTTAGCGAGAAAGGAGTCCATGAAGGCAAAAACACCCTGGGCTACCAAAACGTATGCATGATGTGGCTTTGACATTCAGCAGATTACTTTTAACTTATATACGCTCAAGCTAGTGTTGTTAAGGACCTGCTCAGGAGCCAGACTGCCTGGGTTCAAATTCTGGTGTCATTGCTTTGCTAGAGTCATTCAACTTCTCTGAATCTTTCCTTAACTGTGACATGGGGACAATGATAATACCTAATGCATAGGGATGCTAGGAAGAATGAATGAGATTATATGTGTAAATTGCTTAGCACAGAGCCTGCACATAGTAAGGGCTCAACAAAATTTGTTATAATGATTGCTTTATTGTTATTGTTCTAGCTCTGTTGTCTTTGCTTTCATTGTCTGCCTCTCTACAATGCAGCAACTATGACTAAATCAGTTCCTTTTCTTTAAAAAAAAAAAAAAAAGATTATTTTCTAGTCACTGTGAACAGAAGAAAAAGGTGGTAATTGAAGTTTCCTCCCTACTCTGGAAATCAGGAAATTTTCTCTCTTAGAAGTAGTAAATTCTATACGCTATACCTGGAGCCAGATCTTTATTCTGTATTATAAAACTCCTCTAATAAATCAGTGTCATCTCTCTTGATCGGAGATTTGATTCTTTCCTAACCTAAAACAATTCCTGCAAAAATCTTATTAAGAACCACAG